ATAAATGATTCACGACTGAAGACAGAGAGGCTCAGGCTCTCATCCAACGTTTTCATTTGTTTAAACAGAAAATACCTAGTGAAATAAATGTATATCTCATTATAGAAGTAAATTATTTTTTTCTTCTTTTTGCTCATTTGTTTGCGTAGCATTGTCTCATATCGTGTTGTTTATTTTGTTGTTGTGTTTCGGTTTGGTTTAGGTTGTATTTCTTGTTAACGAGAATGTCTGTTTTTATTCAATTGTTATTACTATTTGCGCTTTATAAAATCATTAGTTACATAGAGTCAGCATCACAATGAAAAGTAAGTTATTTTTGGCTCTTATTATACTCTTATTATGTTACTGTATTTATTGTTATCTGTTGGTATTTTTTGTTTTCTGTGTTGAAATAAATGCGTTGAACCGAAAAAGAAATCATTATTTACATTCCATGTTTGATGTATGACTAAAAAGATATGGCTTCTGTGTGTTTCTTTGTAAACATAATTCCGTTGTAAACATGATTATAATAACTATTTCTTATTGTCATAATTACCTCTATCATCACATACAAGTAGTAACAATAATAATGGAAATAATTATAATAATAATATTTGTTTTAAAACAATGTGAGGAAAACTATTTCTATACAATGTTGTCAATTATCCTCTTCGTCTCTTTAGATATTCCCCCTCTCTCTATTTCTTTTTCCACCCCTTCTCTCCCTTTGTCCTTTTCTCTCTTTTGACAAGAATAGCTAGACATAATATATAACTTATATAGTCATTCCGGGCCCAGTAATTTACCAGACGATAAATAACTGCGTCTTTATGGACACACGTATCAACAAACATTCTAAAGTTCAAGCTATCAATAATAATGATAATAATATTGTTAATAATAAATCTGGATTTACATACCGCTTTATACGGAATAGCGTCGCTATATAAGCACTTTATTATTACCCCAGTCATCAGATTCATTTACGCACACTTATGCACGTTCTCCACTCCCTGGGAGTATTCCTACCATAATAATGATCACCACGAGTACATATGGTAATTCGTATAATATAGATTTATATGTTATTACAATGAGAGCGAGATGGGAGAGGAAGAAATTATTCATATACATACATTATAAAAAAGAGAGAAAGAGAGAGCGAGTGAGAGAGAGAGAGAGATGTCGACTTCAGCATTGTCTGTTTGCACACGTATCTCCACAGTTCAAAGGTATTGATTTTAACATTAAATCTGAAATGTTTCATTTTATCAAATATGATATTGGAATAGGATATAACTTCGATTCTCATGACTTGCAATATTTGGAAATCAAACTTCCCGATTCAACGTTCTACTCTTGCGTATAGTGATCATGGCGGACAAGCAAATCAAGGTAGCATTGTGGTGCGTGCCACGGTCGATGTCCACGGTGTTTGCGAAATGCATGAGTGCCATTGACGAGATGGAAGTCTATTTGGAGCTTTACTCGTATTCTGCATCAGTGAGCGGCGTTTTTCACTCGGCGACGGGGCGTGTATTGCCGAAGAAGCTTGCCGGGAACGAGACGGTATACGAAGAAGCGCTGGCAGTGTGGAAGCAAGAAACTGACAGCATTTTAAATCCGAAAAGAATATCGTGAGTAAAATTTCGAAGAAAACAAGGGAAAGAAGCTGGAGTATATTATATAAGGAGATAAGGAGATAATCAGGAGGGGGGGGGGGGGGGGGGGGGGGGTCAAAGGTACTATGTTTTTTAATGTTTTAAATGGGGGGGGGGGGGGGAGCAAGCAGGTAACGATAGAAGCGCTGTAGGGTTATTAATGCAATTGACAGCGCCCAATTACATATGATTGGCAGGTTAGCGGCGCCAATAAATGGATTTGCGTAGAGTTGCGTAGTGTGGCGTACCAACTACGCCGAAATTAGGCTGCGTATTCATGAAAAAACGTTGCTTCAGCGTAGTCCCTGCGTAGGTAATGCCTAGGCTGGCGTACGATGGCGTATGGTTACGTACGTACCTGTGCATAGGCACCGCGTACCTACACTGTTAGAACAAGTATTAACATTTTTAATCAACTTCGTTAAAATTTTAATCAACCACTCAAATTTACTCAATGTTGGTTAAAATGGTGTTGATTAAACTTTAACCATTTGTTGATTAAAACTGTAATCTTTTGTTGGTTATTTATCCTTTGTTCAGGGCTGATTCACATGATGTTGGTTAAACTTACAGCGGTCGTTGGTTAAAATTGTAACCATTGTAGGTTAATTCTGCTGTGCTTAATCCACACGTTGTTGGTTAAACTTTAGTGGGTTTGGAGGTTTCATCCTCGTGTTTGGAGGTAGGAAATTGTTTTAATATGATTATCATCAATGCTAAAATTGTAAGGAAGAAGTGAAATAAGGTTCTTGCTCAAATTAAAAACGTTTTGTGTCCCGGGCCCGTAGGTTGTAGCTCAATCAGTATTCAGTAAGTGTAACGGATGACTTACCCAAATTGCATGCATATTCAAGACGTTTCACTTCATGATGACAATTAGATTTTTATTTTAAACATAGGTTTAGTCATCATTCATGCACTCTTTCTTTGAGTCCGTGCCTCCTTCACAGTTGAAGATTCTTGCAGACTGACTAGTGTGTGTGAGAGCCAGGTGCATTGTGCAATGCTCACATAATGGTGCAAGTAAAAGTTACTTACTGGTTGAGCTATGTACAGCCTAACGGGACACAAATCGTTTTTGATTTGAGCAAGAACCTTATTTCACCTCTTCCTTACAATCTTAGAATTGATGATAATATCAAAACAATTTCTTACCTAAAAACACGGAGATAAGACCGTCCAAATCCCCATTTCCTTAGTGTCCTCGCGACAACCTCCATTGTTAATTTTGTCGCACGCGTAGCATGTACTTTGTGTACTTGTAGCTATCATGTATTATGTCGAGCGATCGCTAGCTACGCGATTCGATATCGTTCCGTTGGGTCACGTGACCAGTACTTTGACCAACATTGATTAAACTTTAACCGGAAGGGGGCTATCATTACTGTCGGGATTTTTTTTTAATCCATGCTGGGTTACAATTTTTGCCAACGACTTGGACTTAACCAACATAGGTTAAAAGGAATAGTTTTGATCAACACTGTTTTTAACCAACGCAAGATTAAAAGTGAATTTTAATCAACACTACATTTTTAACCATGGTCAAATGTTTTTTAATCAACATTTTTTTAACCCGCAGTTTTTTAATACTTGTTTTAACAGTGTACGCGTACGATTGCGTATATAATACGCCTCGTCGCGTACGTTTACGTATGCCTGGCGTACAGGTTTACTTACGGTTGCTTCAGGCCCGGTCCCACTGGCCGATGGACACAAAACGTATGCATAACGGACACAGCGGACGAGCAAAATTTCGGGGGGGAGGCTCCATCCGTTTTCATCCGCTCCAGAAATGGACAAAATTTGCGAAAATTTGCGAAAACAGAACGGAAAAAAACGGACGTGGGTAGTATGTAGCGGGGATGTTAAACGAATGTTCATCGGAAGCCTAGCGGATGAAAGCGGATGGAAGTGGATGACAGCTACGATGTGCTGGAATGGCTGAGGGAGAACGAGTACCTCTGGAGAAAGGGCCACAGACTGTATCGGGACACCAAGAAGAAGCAGGCAGCTTGGAGAGACAAGGCAGAGAGCCTGGGGTACACTGCAGAAGTACTCCTTGGATGGTGGAAGCACATGCACTCCTGGTATGGGAAGCTACACCTCAAGAAATCCGGGAAGGCCGCCGTCAAGCTCTGCACTGACCGGGAGAAGTACGTCATGGCCAAGTGCAGTTTCCTAGAGGGTGAGATCCGCCACCGAGGAGCAGCCCCTCTGAGACCCCTCTCCCTCAGACAGCCCACAGGCAGCCAGGCATCTTTAAGCCAGGAGCCCTCGACAGCTGAACTCCCCATAATGCCGAACTTGGAGGATCCCGTGGAGGATGACGCCGTGCTGTCACAAATGGAGGAACAAGCGGCAGCCACCAGAGGCCAACCCACCCCCACCTCCACCACCAGATCCAGAGGACGCAGGCAGAGAGATAGACTGGAGGGACAGGACGACAGTGTGCTGTTGGAGATCAGGGACACAATGAAGACCAGCACAGAACTTCTCTCTCAGCTGGTCGACTTGGACAGAGCATCCTCGGCCCGGAAGCCCTTCATCACCTACGTGAGCCAGACCCTGAGGGACCTGCCCGAGGCCGAGTACCAGGTGATGAAGCAGAAGATCACAGCACTTTTCCACAACCCTCAAGGCCCAGCTGAAGTTGGTCCTACCCAGTACAGGTCACAGCCCTTCCACGGCTTTCAACAGCCCTCACCTACCAAGGCTACGACTACCACGACTTCCCACAGCAGAAGCAGAACTTTCCAGTCCAGGCCCATGTTCATCGGACGCCACAGACGCCACTCCTCACCCAGCTGCAGACCAGACAGCCCCAGCACACTCATCCCGACCCTTCCTCCACCCTATAGAGCCACTCCTGACCACATCACACCTGCTGTACCCTCGAGGCCAAGCACAGCCACAGTCACTGCCTTACGCCTCACAGCTGAGACCATGGACACGACTCAGAGTGACTCAGAATAGTTTGAGAGACTGAGTTGTGATTGTGAACACTTGTTGTGAACACTTGTGAGCAGCATTGTTTACTTATAAAAATGTTTTTTACTTTGTAAAGTGTTGATAAAAACTTTGAAAAAATGGCTAAAACTTTGCATACCTTTTTGTTTACTTGATAAAGTGTTGGTAAAAACTTTGAAACACTTTTTGTGAACACTTGTGAGCAGCATTGTTTACTTATACAAATGTTTTGATTACTTAATAAAGTGTTGGTAAAAACTTTGAAAAAATGGTTAAAACTTTGCATTTTTTTGTTTGATACAGTCTGAACAGGTTGTGGTTCTGCTGTTGAATGAGTGCAGCTATCATATGGACTCTTTGATCATCCATGGTGGAGAACAATTGATGATGATGTTGAAGACCAAGACCAAGGGTGATGAGGTCTGTACACCACGGCTGCTCGACCCATACTGAGATCCAGATGATTTTCTCCCCCTTTTCATACAAAATATCGGTTGTCGCTAGGTGTCCTTCTACATACTCTAGACATCCTAAATATACGAGATACATCCCAGATACAAACGCTTTGTCCGTTTTGAATACTTTCTATACGAGATGCATACGCTTACATCCTTTCTATTTCCGTGCTACTAACAATGTATAGACGTTCCATGTACCTTATCTTTCCTCCCTCTTTCCGATTACAGCTGCAGCGGATGTGAGTTGCGAGATGCGGAGAGAGGAAACAGCGGACGTTGAACGGATGACAACGGACATAGAACGTTTGTTGCTCGTATTTGTCGCGGATTTACATCGTACACGGCGGAAAGTTCATCCGTTCTAAAAGTTTTGTGCAGCTCAAAACTTTTTGCGCGGATGAAATCACAGTGGACGGATGCTCGATGGATAGAGCGTATGAAACACGTATGCAATGAGTACACAACGGATGCATAGCGTTTTCCAAACGGATGGCAAGATTTTTTTTACGTTTTACATTTGCATCCGTGAGTGCAGTGGGACTGGCGTAGGGTAGCGTTCTGTTGCGTAGGCTTGGCGTTCTGTAGCGTAGTGTTGCGTATAGACTTGCGTACAAAATGCGTACTTTCTGCGTTTAGTTTATACGTCGAAAGTACGCGAACAAAATTATACATGTTTAAGTTTGTGTGTCCATCTCGCGTACCCCTTTGCGTCCCTCAGCGTACAGTAACGTAGGCCAGCGTAGGGCAGCGTAATACTGAGAGAAGAAGTATGTTTTATGTGATGTTTTGAAAATTGGCAAAACTGGTTAATCATCTAATGGAAAGTGTGATATTGTTCCACGTTTTTCGAAGCAATCACACTCTGAAAAAATGTTGGGCTAAAAAATTGCTATTGGGTAAACTAAAGATTTTGCATGATTTACCCAGTGTTGGATAAAAAAAATAACTATCTTTTAACCAACCGACTTACATTTGAGGCCGCCATCCTTGTCAAGCATCGCTTATTATTGCGGTCTCCTTCACTTTTACATAGATAGTTAGGATAATACTTAAAATTTATAATAATAATGTTATAGAAATATTAAGTTTCGTTATGTTAATATATTTTTAAAAAAATTGACATAAAGTTATTATTGTTTGTATAGTTTGTATTATACCATAAGTTTATTATGTTCTTTGTTATTATATTTGGAAAAATACAGAAAAAATCAAATGATTTGCCCAGTAACATCTGCCCAACTTTTATTTACAGTGCACTTCTGGGTCGATTGAATAAAAAGCGCTCACATAGGACAATTTGGTGCCCATATTTGGTTTTAAAAATATGCACATTATACAAATATTGCTACCGTTATTATCAGAACGCTTCTAAGCCTAAGATTATATTGACTAGTTTGTAATTTCGCCAAGTCGGGTTCCTGAGGTTCAAATTATAGACCTATTCTTTTTTTTAAATCAAAATGCTCATATCTTTTCAGATGCTATGATATCAAACGAGATCTTGAGAGCACGAAGAGTAAGTTAGTTTTTATCAAGGAGATGGCCTACATCACAGATTATGTCCAGGAGTATCTGCCGCAAGGCTTCAGGTATGTCTTCCTCACTAGAGAGCCTACCAGGGTCTTTACATCTTTCCGGAAAAGTATACAAGCCTCGGGAATGTTCCATCGAACAGAAGGTCCCATTCTGGACATCATACGCGAAGATCCGGCGAATATTCGACCAATGTCTTGGTACGAGAAACAGCACCAGCTCTGGAAATATGTCCAAGAGCACCTCGACCCTAACCCGATCATCATCGACGCCACTGATCTCGCCTCCCAACCGAGGAAGATCTTGAAGAGTTTCTGTGAGGCTGTTGGGTTTCTCTACAGCGATAGCCTCCTGCAGTGGTCCCCGAGTCAAAACTTCCCAAAGAACTTTGTGACGGCAGGAGAAAACTTAGAACAATTCGCTGCGTTTTATTCTACAGCTTTAAGCAGCACACACTTCATGGCGCCTGCTAAAAAAGGGCCTATACCACGTGATCAGCTTACGGATGACGTCATCCGATGCGTTGACTACTCCATGCCATTCTACCGTGAGATGTATGAAAACAGACTGCAAGCTTCTTAAAAAATGTCCGCAGGTCTTTCAAACAAGAATAAGTCTCGCTTTGTGCATTTTAGAATAATCCATGCCCAAGTGATGTAGGCGCTTCATAAACGCCTTTCCTTTGCCCTTTTGAAAATGATACTGCATAAATAATACAGAGTCGGGGCTAAATGAATAATGTTGATTTAACTTTCATGATCACATATTGTATCAAAGTAACATTCGTCTTGATGAGTTCACACATTAATTTGTATGAAATAATGATATCTATCTGCCGAAGCATAGTATTCCCGAAGTAGCTCAGAGATTATAAGGCGCCAATTCATCATCAGACATCAATGTTCATGAGAAAAAATTGACATTGTCCAAATTTCGTGTTCGTATGAAAGAAAGTTGCCAGATCCGGGAACGCCATCATGCACCTCCGTTACAGTTTTGCATTATCACACAAAGGATCAGTTGACGAATCAAAGGAACTTTGCTTCATGGTTCGCTAAACAAATCTTCGTTCCCCTAAGTTAATGGCTTCACAGTCAACAGTTTGCAAAACACAAGTCCAAGCCAATTAACCAATCAACAAAGCTATAGACACTATCCAGTGGCCGAGCAGCCGTTAAATAGCCGAACATACCCCGACAGATTTCATTCATTTCTTCAGCACCGTTCACAGTTGATCTCTCTCCATTCTATCAATAACATTGCCAATCGATATGGCTCGTCGCATATTGCTAGCTCGAAGAAACGAAGGAGTGAAGCCGTCCATCTCACCAATGCCGGGGATGATCAGTGCTCCCATCGTCAAGCCTTCATCCTCTCTTCAAGGAGGTGTCCAATCTAACATCCAAGCGATGTCAGCTCATCACAAGAATACTTCTGATTCATTCTAGACTGGTTCTCCAACTGTTAATCTTCCGATGGAGGAAAACGGCTCTTTTAAGAGCCACTATCTGTACAAGAAAGAACGTTGTATTTCATTAAATCAGGGAGGTGAAAGAAAGGAGTCGAAACTCTTGTAATTTATTCAAACGCATTCGTGAGTTCTAAAGCGTAAAAATGGGCTGTGCATTCCACTTGGCTTTGAAGTTCCATGCTCCGAGCCGCGCTTCCACTGCGGAATTTTTGGAGGCCAGGCACCAGTTTCACATTTATTACAAAATATTAAATTACAGGCAAAATTTCAGTGTAAATTATAAACTTTATATGGGGATTATTGGAAATAGTGCATCAAACAATTTTCAAATTTAGGACTGCATCCTTCCTATAATTTGTGTGCCAGAGTTAATAAAACAAAAATTAGATCCTGACAAAAACTTAATATTTTAGGATAATGCACTAATTTGTGCATGTTTTAATGTCCCGTTATGTAATCCATGATTTACAGTCTTCGATAAGTTTAAGTTTGCTAATGCGTGTTTTTGCGTGTTTTTTGTATTTTTGCAGTTGAAATTACACAAGTTTGTGTTCGCTTGTTCTACTCTTTACACATTCAACAATGGATGAGATATCATTGAAAGGGCCAGCGAACAGTTGCTGTGATACCATTTTCTGATGTAGGAATTCTAAATCCTGAAATTTCATGCGCTCTTTTATCTCACCACCTGGTCAACAGTTGCAGAATAGCGCATAACTTTTCGGCGGCTTGCAGCATGGGGTCAAAGGAGAGCGGCTTGATTCCAGTCCTTTTCTATCACGTCCCTGATTCAATAGACCAGTTTATAGTTAGCACATGTGTCATATGACCCCCAATATCCACATATCTTTTAAACATAGATAAATCCATATTGTGCCTTTTGGAATAATCACAGCTAAAGTCATGGAGGTGATTCTTTGTTTGCCCTCTTGAAAAGATTACTTCCACCTGTATTCAATAGAATGCATCACAGGTGCATGCGAGAGTAATGATTACATAACTTTTGTGAGCATGTATCCATTTAGCTCAGATTGTATCTACGAACTGGTATATTAAGGCCCGGTCACACAGCCCTCCACGGGCGTATCGCGGCCGAATCACGGCCAAAAATTTCTGCCCGTGAAGCAGACGCTGTTGGACGCTTTGAGGTCGCGATAAAGACGCGATACAGCCGTACTTTACCCGTCGTTACACGCGGTAAGAAATTCACACGCGGTTGGCCGCGCGAAAAAGTTTGGGCTGCCCAAAAATTTAGACCGCGGGTAATCGCGGGCGGTACACGTGGTAAACGTGGTACACACGCGGTAAAGACGCGGTACAGACGCGGAACGAACGTGCTAGGCCGTGCTACGGCCGCGGTTAAGACGTGGTTACACGCGGAATTGGACGCGAAATTTTAGCGGGTAATCGCGGGTGGAGCACGGTCATAGCACGTTTGTTCCGCGTCTGTACCGCGTTGTTATCACGTGCATTAGCGTGTGTACCGCGTGTAAGCGTGGTAGGCCGCGGTACCGCCGCGCTTCACCCGCGATAAGGACGCGGAACAGTCGCCGGCGTCTGTTCCGCGGGCATACCACGGGTAAACCGCGGGTAAGCCAATTTTGCACATTTCCACCACGGGCAACCGCGGGCAAAAAAAAAAAATCGCGAAATTTTACCCGCGATACAGACGCGAAAGGCTGTGTGACCGGGCCTTTAAGGGCATGCGAGCTAGGAGGGTGGGATAGGCCATTAACCAGTGGCCCACTACAGTTATAAAGGGGCATTGATTTCATAGAGGGTGGGGGCGGTCTTGATTCTTATAGAATGAAAAAATCAATTATGACGAAGTGCGAGTCAGTTTAGGGCTGGCCGCATATCAGTAATAAAGATAAATATCAGACTATGAAGAATAAAATATATTGGATCCTAGGAAATCGATCGATGCAGAAGGCTCGTTTGTTATTGGCACGAAAGATCAATTGAATGAAAAGGAAAGTGTAAGAGAAGGAATCAGTATTATCTCTCTCTCTCTTTCTTTTGAGAGAGAGAGAGAGAGAATATTTATGCTGTATTTCTTCTTTCTCGCTTCTCTGTAATCTCTACTTATACTATATTTCAATCTCTCTACTCCGTACTACCCCATTTCTACTATGGCATATGACATGTACTGTCTACCCCTCCCCCTCTCTCTATTATGTTCTATTTCCCCTTTACAATTCCCTCTCTGCTTGGTACCCCTTACCCCAAAAATGTTCAATGGTATACCAATGGTATACCATTCGAAAGTACCACTGAAAATAACATACAGATACCATTCACAAACACCATTTAAATACCATTCGGATACCATTGAGATTACGCTCGCTACGCTTGAATGGGCACCATTCATCTACCAGTGAAATACCATTCAACCTAATAATAATTTTTGGACGCTCATTTGTTTGTTTGTTTGATTGATTTTATTTCTGCGTTCAAAAATATACAAATTCAAAGTCAAAGTACAAAATTTCGAACAATAACAAATACAATGAATACAATATTTACAAAAGTAATTGAATGAAAAATCATGTACAATTATATCATTCGATAAACATGTACGAAGCATACAATAACATAAGAAATATTTTTAATAAATTAGAGAGGTAATTTGGAACGCAGGAGACCACCATCGTGAGCGGTTAGGCTGGAGATGGATGGCGGCCTCGTAAAAAGAATTGGCGACATAACTCTCTTCGAAAAACTGAGTGATCAAGAGGGTGCGGTGCAAGTGCAGGTGCAGTGAGCAGTTGCATGATAAAGAATAAATAAGTCACGGTTTTGTTATACTAATTTAAAGAGAGGGGAGCATATGATTGTATTATTTGTCGTTTAGTGTAGCTTTTAAGGAGTAGATGGTTGAACAAGACATTATGTTGTCGGGTAAATCATTCCAAATGTCCGGGCCAGAATGTCTAACAGATTTGTGTGTTATTGATAATTTGGGGTTTGTAAGATGGAAGTTTCCAGATATGCGAGTAGAGTATGAATGAACGGAATTATTAAACCTAAACATGTTATCAAAGGATGGTGGAAGCAGATTATTAATGTACTTAAACATAATAACTGCTACTTGAGTAGTGTTCAGATCGAAAAAATTTAGTGTTTTAAGTTTATAGAATAAAGGATCAGTGTCTTTAGTCTTTTTTGTATTAAGTGAAAGTTTATTGGATTTAAACCAATCTGATACTTTGTTAATGTCATAATTCAAAGTATTGTTTAACGAATTAAGGTCTTTATGGAATAAAAGATATTTGTATCATCGGCAAATAAGATAAAAGAAAGAAGGGGGATGTATTGATAATATCATTACATAAAGAAGAAATAACAGTGGACCTAAGATGGAGCCTTGAGGAACACCGCATTGAATTAAAAGAGGATCAGAATCATAACTATTAAATGTAACATATTGTCTTCTGTTTGTTAAATAATCTTTAAACCATAAGAGTGGCTGACCCCGAATTCCGTAATGACTGAGTTTGGAGAGTAGAATAGCGTGATTGAGCGTATCAAATGCTTTACTCAAGTCACAGAATATACCTATAACATGCTCTTTGTTAGCTATGGCACTTGTAATTTTGTCATATATTTGAATTAATGCTAAGTCAGTTGAGTAATTTTTTTCTGAAGCCATATTGATTTGATTGAGTATTTTGTGTTTAGTGATAAATTTGTGTAGCCTACTATGAACGATCTTTTCTAAGACTTTGGATATACTTAGAAGTAGGAAATTGGACGATAGTTACTAATTTCGTGAGGATCATCTTTTTTTGAGAATGAGGTTGACTTTAGCTAGTTTTAATAGATCAGGGAAAACACCTTGCGATAACGAGTGATTAAATATGTGAGTTAAAGGCTTTGCAAGTGGATACATTATTTCTTTTAGGAGAGACATACTTATTTTATCAAAACCGTGCGATTTTGAGTTGTTAAGAGATTGGGTAATGTTAATAATTTCGCTAGGATTTGTCGGATTTAAAGAGAGACTCTTGGTTTTGATTGGAAAGATAGTCTTTAAAGTGAGCGTGAGTTCTATTCATTTTGCTGGCGAGTTCAGGGCCGATATTAGTAAAAAATGAGTTAAATGAATTTG